ATCCTGGAGGGGACCAGATGTGGGATCACAGGCAGCTGGGCATGGAGCAGCCCACACCACCACGAGCCTGTTCCCTCTGGGATGCCAGTGCAGCTCCCGGGAGGGCCCCGCGCTCCATCCCCTCCGCTGTGCCCGGCACAAACTCCAGGGAACACCCTGCCTGGGGGGATGCTCTGCCCTCCCTCAGGGGCCAGAGGGTCCTGGGGTGCAGCAGAGACCCCCGGGGGTCCCTGCCAGCAGCCCCAGAGCTTTGGGTGGGCGATGCCCCGGGGAGGTGATGGATGTGGCTGCTCCAGGGACTGCGCTGCTCCGCTGCCTGACAACAGCTCCATCCATGCCAGAGCCACAGGGGAGCCAGCTCACCTTGGCCGTGTCCTTTCAGCACCAAAATATGCCTGGAAAATTGTTCGTGCCCAGGCTTAAATATAAATGCACCTCAGGGTTTAGAATAAGGGCTGGTGGCCTTTATGGAGAGGAGGAATCCTCCCTGTCCTCCCTGCACTGCCATGAATCCCATCGAGGGGTCTCCACCCCCACATCCATCCCCCTGGGATCTCCAAAAAAAATAAACCAGCTGAGTGGGAGGAAATGGGAGGTTTATGCTTCACTCCATCTCCTTCAGCCACCCCTGTCCCAACCCCATTGCTCCCAGTGCTGGGAAGTGAAGTCCTGTACTGGGGCCTCCCCTTGTCCCTCATCTCCCTCCTCCTCAGGAGGGGCTCCCCAGCTCCACAAAGCCCAAGGGAAGCATTTTGTCCGTGGATGTGGGGTTTGGATCAGGACCTGGGAAGAGCTTAGGCCGATGCCTCTGGATTCCTACTGATCTTGGCTTTCAGGTTCAAAGGCAGGAAAGGCAGGAGCCACGAAGACCAGGACCGTGAAACTGGAGATGAGAATGATGACAGGCTTCAACTTTCAGCCCTTGGCCAGATCAGACCACTGGGGAGAACAAGAGAGTGACCCAGGGGAAACACTCAGAGGTGCTTGGGGACAGTGGGAGTGGGACCAAGTGGTGCTGGGACACCCTGGCAGCCCCGAGAGGCTGGATGTCTCCTTCTGCAGTGCTTTGCATGGATCCAGCCACTCTGCTGCAGAGCACAGCAATCCCTGCCACCTGCTGTACTGTTGAGCAGAACTCTCTGTCACACATCAGCCCTGCTCCTTGCCAGGACTTATTTTTTTCCCTCTTTTCCCCTAATGGAGCCCTCGCTGGCGGCAGAGGAGCGGGAGCAGGGCTGGGGAAGGGAGAGCTGCCACGCATCTGCTGGGGTTCAGGGAGGGAGATGACACAAGGCAGCCTGTTGTTTCCAGCTTGCCAGCTCAAATCCATCTTCAGCTGGGCAGCAAAGGAAAGTTTATGCTGCTCCACGGGGAGCTGAGGCCGTCGGTTTGGTGGGTGGCACCGTGCCAGCCTGGGCACAGCAGAGGGACCAGCTTGGACCCACCCCACTGTGCAGCTCCAGAGGGGGTTTGGGGCGGGAAAACTCTCAGATTATACTAAAGATGCCCCTAATTGCAGCAGCAGGAGGTGAAGTGGCTACTCGTGGTGGCCGTGGCAGAGCCCCACGGAAGCTGCGGGCAGCTCCCGGGCACAGCTTCCCATCTGCTCTGCCCAGTGAAGCGAGCCTGAGAATTTATTCCATGCAGGTAATTAATTGCTGAGCTACAGGCACGTTAGAGGTGAGCACTGGAAGCAAACCTGCAGCAGGGTACCACGCTCAGGTCGATAAAATCAATGGGCACTTGGCCACGGCCGGGGCTGCCGGCGGGGTGAGGCTGCAGGGCCGGCTGAGCTCCAGCTCCAGCTCCAGGCTGGATGTGCCAACCCAGGAATGCTTGGGGTGCTGCTCACAGCCATCTGCCCCGTGCTCCCACCCCTTCCTGACCCCCTGTGCAGGTGAGAAGGGCCCTGGGTGGGATGGAGAAAGGAGGGGGGTGATGCTGAGGGATGATGTGCGTGGGAAACACTGCCCTGGCTAAGCCAAGCTGAGCCTCCTCAGGGTGAGGATAGCCCAGCTTTGCACGGCCCTGAGCTCCACATCCCCATGGAGCACAGAATCCTGGAGTCACAGAGTCACAGAATGGTTTGGGTTGGAAGGGGTCTTAAAGCTCATCCAGTTCCACGGGCAGGGGAACCTTCTACTAGAGCAGGTTCTCATCCAACCTGGCCTTGGACACTTCCAGGGATCCAGGGGCAGCCACAGCTTCTCTGGGCAACCTGTGCCAGGGCCTCCCCACCCTCACAGCCCATGGATGTGCCTTGCCCTGGCTCAGGGCTCTCCCTTCCAGCTGTTTTTTGTACCCCACGACAGCAGAGCCCAAACAGCCTCGGGAGCAGGAGCTGCTGCTCGGACATGGAGGGAAAGGCCCCGTGTGTCACATCCTGCAGCCACGGGGCTTCTTGTGCTTAAAGCAGCCGAGTTTTCTCCTGTAGGAATGGGGGTTTTAATCCCTGGTGCCTGTCTGGAAGGGATGCCTGTAGGCACTGGCAGCCCTGGACCTGCTTTTTGGCTTCCACATGACCTTGACCACACTGGGGAGACCTCCTAGGCCAAGCAGCCGGGTGGGGTGTCCACAGCAGGGGACTCCACCCTGCATCCCAGGCTGCCCAGGGGTGCCAAGGGACATCTCCCATTTTTCCAGGCCTTTTCGAAACCAGGGAATGGAAGCAGCACCTCTGGACCACCACTGTGTGACCACCACGGTGTCCCCACCATGAACTGGCAGCTGCTGCAGCGCCTGGAAACCCCCAATTCCAGGGGTTTTCCTGCAGGGAATTCATCCCTGCAGGATGAAACCCCACCGTGCCCTCGCCAGTGGGACCCTGTTGAACAGCCGGGGGGTTGGAGCTGCTCCTGCTTCCAAACCCGCGGGAATTTTCCGCCCGATTTCCCACGGGACCGCCCCATCCTCCTCCTTCCCTCCCTCGGGATCGCCTCCTTCCCTCCCGCAAGCGCTGCGGTGCCGCGGAACTTGTTTTCCTCCCTGACCGGACCCAGCCCGAAGGCCCGGGAGGAGCAGCCTCGGGGCCATTTCTACACCGTCACTTCCCGGTGCCGCAGCCCCGGATCCTCCCGGAGCGTCCCCCCCGCACCGGGCAGGGATGTACCGGGCTCTCTGCGGGGGCACAGCCCTGTCACCCCTGCCTGGGACCACTCTCATCCCGCCAGCTCCTCATCCCAGGAGCATCCTCATCGCAGGACCATCCCCATCCTTGGTCCATCTCCATCCCTGGAGCATCCTCATTTAGGAGCATCCTCATCCCAGGAGTATC